GGTTAGTGACAGTGATGCCAAAAGAAAGAAAAAAAAAGAATTTTAATCAAACATTTTTAGAATATGCAGATGAAAACAGAAAGAAGTTCAGAGGATGACATAGGTAGGCACAGTAGCTTTGGAATCAATGTGCTGAATTTGCTGTATGTAACAGAGATTGTATTTCATATGTAATTTACTTTTTCTATTCTTCTTTATATATGGAAATGTTCATGTTTGTTGATGCTTGTCAAGTCCACAATAATAAAAAAAAGAATTTTTTTAAATGCCAGATGGAGAAAAATTTATATTTGATCCTGGTAGCAATAGGAAACCACTGGAGTTTTACTCAGTAGGATAATAAAAGGATAGGTGCTTTTTCTACACTTTTGGAAAATCATTTTAGCTGTGTGGAGCATGGAGAGAGCAAGGATAACAATTTAGATACCAAGAGGCCAGAAGAAATGATGAGAGCTTAAACTGGCAAGGTGCCCATGTAAGTAGAGAGAAACGGATGGACTCAAGACATTCTAAGGAGGTAGAAATGACAAGATTTGGGAACTGATTAGGTAGTTACTGAAAAATACATACTATTTATCTCAAATTCTATGATAGAATTACTGATTGCAGAGAAATTTCTCAAGTGAGAAATACTGTAACTTGCTATCTCCTGGCATTTTTTTTGAGACACTGCTCTTTCCTGGTTCTCCTCCTCCATGTCTGCAACTCCTTTTCAGGATCCTTTGCAGGCTCATTATCCATAACACACTACCTAACTATAGGTATTTCCCAAGGCTCTGTCCTAGCCTCTCTTCTACTCTGTTTCTACATTCTTTTGATCTCTTACTCAGTGACCACATCAGCTCCCACGGATTTAATTATTATCTTAATGCAGAAGACTCCCAAATCTATATGTCCAGCTCTAGGTAATCTTCTGAGCTCCAGTCAGGTATCTTCAGGTGTCTATTATATATTTCAAAATGGATGTCTCATAGGCATCTAAATTTAACATGTCCAAAATTGAACTTGTTTTTCCCCTCAAAATCACTCTTCTGAACTTCTTTATTTCTGTTGAGGGTATCACTATCTTTCTAAACATCTGTGTCCCCACAAAGAAGATCTGTTCCATTCTGTTTCCTTAAAAAGCTAAAGCACGAGTTTCTTCCCTGACTTCAATTTCATCTTCCACAAAGCTGCCACAAAGATTTTCCTAAAGTTCAGGTCCAAACATGTCATTCCCCTACTCAATAAACTCCAACAGCTCTCTATTGCCTCGAGGATCAAATATAAACTCCTCTGTTTGGCATTTAAGGCCCTTCACAATCAGGCTCCAATCTACCTTTGCAACCTTATTTTACAATACTCTCTTTTACCCACTGTTTTTGTTGTTCATCAAGACTTTCTACCTCCCACCTCCATGCCTCTATACCAGCTGTCCCCTATAACTGGAATGTGTTTCATCATTCTCACTTCTGACTCTCAGAAACTTTTTCCTTCAAAATTTTACCTAGGCGCCACTTTCCATATGAAGCCTTTTCTGATTCCCAGCTACTAGTGACCTTCCCTTAAACAAATTACTTTGTATTTATCCTACATATTACCTACAGAGATATACATACCTGTTGTTTCAAAAAAAAAAAAGGAAAAGAAAAGAAAAAAAGGTAAACTCTCTGAGGGCAAGGACAGCTTCTTGTTTGTTTTGGTTTTGTATCCCTAGCCCCTACTACAGTGCCTAACACAAAGCAGGCATTTAATAAATGCTTGTTAATTGTTTCATATCTTACCAGTAATTGATTTATCTTCTAAAACTTTCCACAAACAAATAAATTATATCTATGGTTAGAAATTAAGACTATTTTCTACTCTTTTGCTCCTATAGTTTATTTCTGATTTCATTTCACTATCTCTTAGAGATAAAATTTTTCCCCTTCCACTTCAATTGGTCTTGTGAAATAGCTGAAGCTACAGAAAACAAAAAAATAGGATTTTTCCAAGTTTTTTTAATTAATACTTTCAGGGTTTCCTTCCTCTAATGTAATTTTCCAATGCCTCATAGTTGTGTAGCAGTCAATGTGGGATCTTAGAGATGATGCTGTCAGAGTACAATGCCTCAAAGTAGTGTGGCAGTCAATATGGGATTTTTAGAGATGATGTTGGCAAAATACAAGCTAGTACAAGTACAGGTCAGTGTATTTTACTAGAAACCATACTGGTCTTAGATTCAGAAGACCTAGTTCAAGTCCAAAATAACACTTACTGGCTGGGTAACCTGAGACAAGACATATTACCTCTCCTATAAAAAAAAAAGCATAATTGATATTACCTACTTCTTAGGACTGATGTTGAAGAAAATAGCTATAGAAATGTGAACAGTCTTTACAAAACCAGAAAGGCTTAAACTAGAGAACCTAGTGATTGACTATGTCGGTCAACTAAGGATTAGCCTCACTTAATTTGGGGAAGCTCAATATCAGAAAATTAGTGAGCGATCATATATACTTCACTGAAGCAATTCATGAAACCACAAGTCATCAATCTAAGAGTTATAATGTGAAATAGAGTAATCAGTGTTCACACCAATGCAAAGATCCTTAAGGTAAGTATTATCAGAGCTTAGAAACTGGAAGCCACTTTCATCCAAACAACAGTGTAACAGAGGATGTAAAATTAATGTGTATGGTGCAACAGCGCTTCACAGTGGACAGAGCTGGCCTCAAGCAGGAAAACCTGTGGGCAAATCCTGCCTCTGACACATACATGATAAGTAATCCTGGACATTTCACTTCTCAGTGCCCCAGACAGCTCTCTAAAGCTATAGATTGCAGAAAGGTTGCTAATCTTAAATGTTAGAGGAAAATTTCTCACCAGAAACTCTCTGTATTAATAAAATCACAAGTACAGTTAAAGCTTTTTTTAATTTAATTTTTAAAAATGAGTGCACCCACAATTTAATAAGCATTTATCAAGTACCTAGTACAAGGCACTATGGAAATAGAATGTAAGTTCCTTGAGAGCAGAGACTTTAATTTTTGTCTTTGTATCACACCAGTGTCTAGCATAGTAACTGGCATGGTAATCAGTTAATAAGTGTTTGTTTATTAACTGAAATGCTAGGCATTTCAATTCAATTCTTCAAAGGAAGAGTTTTTAAATGGACCCTGTGGCTCATATGAGCACGATATAAGAGAAACTATACAGAGTCTGGGCTTTGAATCATGACATAACACCTAGGCAAGTCATTTCAACTCTCTGAGCCATAATTTCTTAAAAAATACCTATAATATCAACCTCACAAGACTTTTATGGCGCTCAAAGGAAATAAAGGTGTATACAGCTGTTTGCAAATGAAGAAAAATGTCAATGATTGTCCAATACAAATAAGCAAATGATGCTCAGTTATATAACCTTTGATTCCTTACAACTCATATGAGTCAATCACAATTAACATTAAGTGTATTTCAAAAATTTATAGTGTTTAGTAATCAGACTTCAGGATAAGAAACACCTTGGCTAACAGTGCCCAAGAGGCTCTCCTTGTTTGCATGCAATTATACAAAGTTCTCCTTTCCAGAAAAACATGTAAATCTACAGCCTCACCTATAAATGCTAAGAGCATAGATTCAGTCAATGATGCTATGGTTTAACTGTTAAAAAGAAACACTCAAACCAAAGTTTCCTATTCTTTCTTGGCAGGTATGGTAATTCTTTTTTTTTCCCCCTCAGGAGAAATAAACAGCTGTAAGACATAGCTCACTTTATACCAAAAAAAAAAAAAAAAAAAGTGCTCCAAAAATTTGTTTATAAATCAAACTATACAAATCAAGTTTATTTTAATCTAATCATTTTAGGGAGCAGGAACACTTCCTATTTAAAATAATCCTATATGGAGTCATTTTATAAAGCTATCAATCCTGAACAATGAGGCATTATTACACAATACCTTGAACATAATACATATAAACAATTCAATCCAATTGTAACAATTTACTTGTTAATAGGTCACAAGTTTTTACATTTAATTTGCGCTTAAAGTATACCTACGTAACATAAACTGATTTCCAATAGTTAACTCGTAAAGATCTCACTGATTTCCCAATAGGTTTTCTATCTTGATCAGATAAGTAAACTTTTTTTATTTTCTTAAAGATTTTTTTAAATGGAAACTTTCCAAAAAATAATACTATTCTATGTTGTCACTCCAACACATCCTATCAGAAAAGTGGCCATGTTTTAGAACTATTCCTTAAAAATAAAGATAAATAATCCAAAAAGAAAATATGCCCTTCAACCACTATCATAAATAGGACCCAAACATCTAGTGTGTCTAGCCTAATATTTGACCAGGGCTTTTCCTTATGTTTTGGGACCCACTTTTTTTTTCTATGATAAAATATTTTCATTATATCTACACATTTTCAAATCGTGTAACCTAAACATCTTTTCAAAAACACCTCACCCGTAATTACATCATTTAGTATTGCCTGTTCCAAAAATGATCAATGTGACATTGGGTCGATTTTCAGAGTTTTTGTTCCTTCTAACAAGGACTGGAGAATGAAAACATACACAACACGGAGTCACAGTCCCTTGTGCCTAGTTAGTTTCATTACAGGTCAGGGGTTCTTAATCTTTTTTGTCCTTCATCTTTCCAGGGACCTCTTCTACAATGAATGTTTTTAAAGGTGTAAAATAAAATACATAGGACTGCAACTGTAAATCAAGAAGCATTTCTTGACAAATACTATGTGTCAGGCACTGTGCTGAGTGCTGGAAATCTCAAAGGGTGGTGAAAATGAAGATAGCTTTTTTCGTGTGTGTGTGTGTGTGTGTGTGTGTGTGCGTGTGTTAACAAGTTCTCAGACACTAGCTGTGTGACCCTGGGTAAGTCACTTAACCCTGTTGGCCTCTGTTTTCAGAGAAGGAAATGGCAAACCACTCCAGTATCTCTGTCAAGAAAACGCCAAATGGGGTCACGGGAAGTCGGACACGACTGAAAAACGACTGACCCGAACTGAACTCACCCACCCCAGGTGAAGAACTCCGGCCAGAAGCCAACAACCAGGTCACAAAAGCGGTGCAAGTGGCCTCTTCTCTCCTCCACGTCCTCCACCTCACTCCTCCAAGGAGACTCCCTGGCCGCCGCCACCAGCCTCCCTCCCTCCCTCCCAAGACAGCAGCTCACAAATCAACAACCCTGCGCGTTGCTGGAGGAGTGCAAAGAAAAAGAAATAAACAAGATGACACAACCCCACCCGAACGAAGGCCGGTTCCTAACCACGGCTGGCCTCGGCTTCCCCAGCCCGTCCGGCCCCTCTCCCCTGGATGCTTTTCCACTCCCCCGTTCCTCTCCGCCCCCCCTTCCTGGGGAGAACGTTTCTGCTCCATCCTCCTCCCGCCCCTCCCTCGGCCTCCCGCTCGCCTGTCGCCCCCGCCCTCGCCTCTCGCCTCACCCGGCTCCCTCGGTCGGTCGGTCGCACTGACAGACGTGGAGCTCCCCCTCTCCGGCCCCCGGCTCTTCTCTCCGCCCCCTCCCTTCAGGCCCTCGGGCGTCGTTCCCGCACTGGGGGGCGCCCGATTGCGGAGGAAGTGCGACAGACCTCCCTTTTTTTTTGCTTTTTTTTGCTTTTTCCCTCGGCGGGGCGGGCACAGAGCGGGGACGAGGGAAAGGGGGAAAATAGGGAACGCAAGGCGTAGCGACGGCGTAGGCGGCGGCGGCAGCGGCAGCGTCGAAGACAACTGCTGTGGTGGGGGCTGCCCACCTGCTCCTCCGGCCTCCCAGACGCGGGGCGGGCAGGGAGGGGGCGGAGCCAGGACGAGCGCGAGCCCCGCCCCGTGCTGCCCCGCCCCGCCTGGAGCGAGCGCTCCCACAGAGACCCTGAGCGCAGAGCGGGGATGCGGCAAACAGCTAGGCTGGCAACCTGGAGACTTTTGACCTTGCACAGTGCGGTGGCAAGGCTTCCAGTCCCTTCCCCGGAACGGCGCTGCTCTCCCCGCCTCCTCACCCACTCATTCAACACCTCCCCAACTTGCTCCCCAGGAGCTGGTCTGGCTGAGCTTCCTTACCACCACCCCTACTTACTGACTCCCCGCTTCTGCACCCTCGTGCCCGTTTCTCAGTAAATATCTATTAGGCTTTTTCTTGTCTGCTGCCCTCCCTCCTTTCCTGTTCATCCCCTGGCTGTTCGGTCGTCATCATCATTATCTGATCATCACCATCACCTTCCCCAACCCCACCCCCCTCCCATACTCACGTCCACATCTTTCTTCGAGCACTTAGCAAGCGAAGTGCTTGTCACGTAGTTGTTAGTCTTTCGTTTTCGAAGAGGACCAGTTACAGTACGGGTTGATGTAGTGCTTAATAAATGCTCACTGACTCTCACTACAACCTGAGCCAACCTATTCTTCCCTTCCTTGCCTTTTTTTCTCAATTTTTCCTCCCTCCTCATCTAACTGCTTCTTCGTGTCAGGGACCCACTGATTTCAAAATTGAGGTATTATTGGATGCCTACAGTGGCTTTCTTGATGTCTAAAAATGTAGTACTTCCTAAATCTTCAAAGTTTCTCTGTCTCTTTCTCTCTCTGTCTCTCTCTCTGTTTTGAGACCTTGCTCTCTGTGCCAGTTGTTTTGAAAACCCTCCTTGCTACCTCAATTGTTTTGTGACAGTACTCTGACATAAGGGAGTACCTCCTGGGTGGAGGTAGGGTTTTGACCCTTGTTTTCTACGATTGGGTTCAGACGGCCATACTCTTGCAGTGTAGTTGCAGCTGTCAATAGCTTAAGACCTCCTCTCCTACCCAGTTTAGATCTAAGGAAAGGATCGTGGGCCAGCCAGAGAAAACAATCCCTTAATGAGTTTGGGTGCTGAGAATGACATGTAAAACAATGAGAGTCAGTTCAGTGCAAAGGTTTATTGCAAGCAATGGGGAAGAGGGGAACAAGAGAGAGGAAAAGGGGAGCAACACACAACTCACACATACATGCTAACATAGAGTATAACTCATATAATGGCAGTATTGAATTGGGGAATGCAGAGACATGGATCCATTCAGCAGGAAGGGAGTGCTCCAGCAGAAAGGTATTCTGCTGGAGGGGAAGGCTTACTCCAAAGTACCCTTCTGAGAATTCTTATACTCTGAGAGAATGAGTGTATATATATATATATATTCAAAGAGTTATTTACTCTGATTTTGAGCCGCTCCCCTGGAGCTCTGGCTGATTTGCACATGAGGGATCAGGGCAAAATACTACTTTGGGTATCAGGGAGAAAAAACAAGCTTGTGGTAAACAGAGCTGTATCAACCTTCAAAAAATGTTATTGTCAATATTTTCCAATGAGTATGTTCTAAAAGTTTACAGCCTCGCTTAAGGGAAGATTATCATGATGGCCTCCAAACCATCAGGCTCAATCTTATAACGCTCTCTTTCTCTGACAGATATGACAATGACAAAATCAGTCATATCACTCTAATTTTTTTTGTTAAAATTACTTAGGTACAGTTTGTTTTAGTTTAACATCACCCAAGTTGTGCTAAACTGTAAGAATGTGATTCCAAAGATAATGGAATTGGGAACAAAAAGGTGGACAGGAGAATTCTAATATTTCAGATTTTTGTACACTTGCATGGGAAAAGACTCTTATATTGGGAAAGAATGAAGGCCAAAGAAGAAGGGAACCTCAGAGGATGAGATGGATAGATAGTTTAATGGAAACAACAGACATAAACTTGTAAGGCCTGGTGTGCAATAGTACGTGGGGTCACCAATCATCGGACATGACTGAAAAACTTATGAGACCTGTTTGAACCCCTCATCACCCGAAAAGGGCCAAAAATCTGGACTGGCCAATAGAGAAGATGACTTGAGCCCTTCTGGAATGACATTAATAATCCTTTGGCATGCTTTCTAAGTGAACCCCAAATTCTCCTGCTGTATCAGCAACCACAAGACTAGATTAAGCTTCACAGACATCCTGAGTCAGGGGCACTTCCTTGCTTATTGGGAACTATAATCTTAGCTGACAGAAGGCCAGACATCCTGAATCAGAGGCTCTTCCTTGCTTCATGGCTTTATAATCTGTGCAGTCTAACCCCAAAGTGAGCTCAGTTCCGATTGCAGCTCCCATGCATGCATGCCTGAAATAAACACTAATACAGCCTAATTCTGTTTGTCTTTCTTAGACCGAACTCTGGAGGTTGACAGACTGAACAACAACAAGGTTTTCCTCTCCACAATCATCTATTTCTGGGTATAGCACCGCCCAGAGTAGCACTGTGTAGTTGTGACCCCTAATGTCTCTCTGGACTGGCTTATTCACTCCAACCTTCCTTCAGAGGGATTCCCAGGGATGGATCACCACTAGGCTGCTCCAACTCAGATTTTCTTGGGATTGTACTGGTAACCTGATTTGGCGGTTACAAACTCCATTGTAACTTCTGAGTCCCAACCAGAACACTTCCCATGTATACAAAATCAGTCAATTGAAATAACGATTCCATTAACTTTGAACATAAAACACTTAATGGTAAGGCAAAACAATGTTCATTCATTCAACAAGTATTTATTGAGGACCTACCATGTGCAAAGCATTGTGCTATCCCTGGGGATGCAAAGACAAAAAAAAGGAAACAGTCCCTATGCTCAAGGAACTTACCTTCTTTTAGAGGAAATTACACATAAACAAACTGAATACATGAGTTAAGTCTAATGTACTAGTGGAGTCTTTTATTACAAACCTCAAAAAACTGTAGTGTGAGGTATAGACAATGTGGAGACACCTATTTCAAGCTAATTGAATCAAAGGAAAAGATAAAAGAAAGAATAATAATAAATAAGAATATGCTTCAGGGCTGAAGATTCTCTGTGGAGAGGGGGTAAGAAAGTATATGGCAGCAACTACTGGAGGGATTCTTCCAGATATAACTTAGGGAGAACTACTAAAAAAGGAAAAGACAGACTAAAGAATGAGATCAATAATCTCCAGGAATGTGGCTTAGGCTATAATACTAATGAGGTGTCCTCTGGTGTGAGAACCTGCTGAGCCCTTTTCAGGGCTGTTCATCCATCTTTGATGAACATCTTCACCCACCTCTCACCTATGGCTCCAAGAAGCTGTAACAGGAGCATAGGCCACACCTGGGTAAAACCATCCCAGAAGGTGGGCTAAACCAGGCTGAGGGTAACCAACAGGCCTCAAACCTGTAGAGGAATTAGGGGAATGTCTACCCCAGGCATGTGAAGACTAGCCCTGGCAGAATGGGAGGATGAGGCACTGTGGAGCAGTTAGAGCTTGGTCAGACACTGCATCACCGGTTGTCTTGACTTTTGTCTTGCCATTGGACTTTGAGGTTGATCACTCTGTGCAACTGCCCCACTTAAATCCAATTCATGAGCAAATCAAGACCTCACCTCGTGATGTCTTAGTCCTCTTAGAAAACAAAAGATGAACAACATTATTTGCCTGAGTAATTTGAGTATAAAAGAGTGAAAAAGAGCAAATATATGAAGTAGAATTCAGCTTCTCCTGATGGTAGTAAAAGGCCTATGCCAGTGACAGCATCAAGATAGAATGATCTAGAAGCAGGGCATTGGTTCTATGAGCAGAAGCAACTTGGCATGGATCAATGGTTAACAGAAATGAAGCCTTGACAAAGTTAGCTAAGATGAAGAGCTATATGGAGACCTACTCCAACTACAACTCAAGGCAGTCTTCCCAGAGTCATGAAAAAGGCATAAAAGACCTGTCACAGAAGTGTTCTAGCAGCAAGACAACTACCCTATCACAACCTCAATTATCTATGGACCATGAGTTCTCCCTACCCCCTTACTTTTAGTCTGGGAATGTATTTTCTTTCCTCAATTGGTGAGAAGTCTTCGGGGGGGGGGATTATTTTCCCTTGGTTTATGAAGGGTTAAGAATAATTTTACTGTATAGGTTTTCTTATGTTTTGTTGATAATATTCAGTGAAGTGCACCAAGGAGAGAGAGACCAGGAAGTGGACTCATTAAAGATCGAATAGCTAAGAAACACTGAACCTCAGAATTGGAAGGTTGCCTCATGAGAGACAGCATGGTACAATGAAAATTGTGCTAGATTTGGAGTCAGAAACCCTGCCTCTGCCACTTACTAT